GAGGCATGTCAGAAACTGCCCCCAAGTGCTGAGTCCTGTCCCAGTGGTCTCTATTGTTCCACGCTGCTGAGTCTGGACTCAGAACCCTGAGTTCTGGTAAGGTACCACATGAGGTACTGTTCCTCCTGCCCTTCACAGGCAGACTAATCTCATGCTTTGTGCCACCCATGTGAGCATGGGCCTTCAGCACACTGGTAGGCACCTCTGGTGTGTGCCAGGTAAACACTGCTTGAAAAGAACCTCCTCTGGGTTCCAGCCTTGGGGTGAAGAGCAGGCACCTCTGGGTATCCTGCCTAGGGGCGTCTCACTCTGAGTGCTCCGTCCAGTCACCAGCTCCTTATTGGTTGTCAGACTATGTGAGTTTATTGTCGCCACTTCACATGGCTCCTGCTCCCCACTTCAGCCAATTAGAGGAATCAGGCTAGAGATGTTGAGACTCAGTCAACGTCACCTACCTGTCAGTGGCCAAGGCTGTGGCTAGAGCCCAGGTTCAGCTACTGCTGAGGTCTACACTCCTCATCTGACTGGCGAGAACTTAAGGCAGGTGAGTTCTTTCCAATTTTGCTGTGAGGGGCACTAATGTGTGTGTGTGTGCTCTCCTTTAAACTTTGAATCTTGGCAGTTTTTAATCGGCCTGATGGACTTCAATAGTGCAGTTAGTCTGTTAGGTTGCTTAATGTGTGGCTCACTCCCATTCAGTGTTTAATTGGCTACCATTTTATTTTTGCGGTGCTGGGATTTGAACTCGGGACCTACACCTTGAACCACTCCACCAGCCTTTTTTTTGTGATGGGTTTTTTCAAGATAGGGTCTCTCAAAACTATTTGCCCAGGCTGGCTTGGAACTGCGATCCTCCTGATCTCTGTCTCCTGAGTAGCCAAGATTACAGGCGTCAGCCACTGGTGCCCTGCTTTGGCTACCATTTTAAAAACTAAAGCAGTCACACTGCACTCTTAATAGAGAAATTTCAAGGAATAGGTCTGTGTCTCTCAGTTCCCTACCCCCACTCAAGCTTAATTAATTAATTAACTTAATTAACTTAATTAACTTAATCCCTAAGATGAGGTCCATCTAGCAGAGGCAGCAGCACCTTGCAGACAGACTCCAGGCTGCATGGCTCCACTTGCTGTTTTCCTTGTGCCTTTGCTTATGTCCTGCTTGGGATAGGCTGTGCTTGGACATCCTACAAACCTCAAATTTACCACATCCCCCTTTAAATTTTATCTCTACCACTCACCCACCCATTTTGGTGGTATTTGGGTTGAACTCCAGACCAAATGCGTGCTAGGCAGGTGCTCGCCCACTGTTTTACATGGCACCTTAGTAATACCAGTGGCTCAACCCATAAACTTAGAGATACGCTAGACTTTATGTTCTCCTTCACCTGATAAAATTCTTCCAGAATCTCTTTGCAGTCCATTTCTCTCTATCCCAGCCTCTAGGCTCTTGCAGTAGCTATTGGGTCCATCGCTTTCAGTGCCTCCTTGGTGTAGCCACCAGGGGCTGAGCTCAAATCCACTTTGGCATCTCCCTGCACAAAACCCCACAGTGGTGCCCACTGACAAGTTCCTTAACCGGACGAGGAGGTCCTTTGTGGCCTGCCTACCCACGGCCACTTTCTTAACCACACCTAACCTACTCCATGCTGTTTCCCAGAGTGCACAGGCCGCTGCCTTGCCCCTGTGACCAACTGCTACACAGCTGAGCCTTCAGCGCCTTTCCCCCAGCTCAGCTCCTCAGCGTCTGCTGGCTATGCCTGGTTTTCACACACTCAGATTTTCATTTTCTGTTTATTATGTTACTTACAATTTAGAAAATACTGATTAACAAAACAAGCCCTATGTATTTCATATCTTGATAATCGTTAACATTTTGGTATTTTATAGAAATGGGATTATGCTGCTTTTACTTGAAACATCAGTATTTCCGTATCTTGCAAAATAGTTTGTTCAGCCAATCCCATATTGTTAGATATCCAATCAGAAGCATCAGTTTACTTATTACCTGTATACTGATCTTTTTTTTTTTTTTTTTTTTGCAGTACTTGGGTTTGAACCCAGGGCCTACACCTCAAGCCATTCCACCAGCCCTTTTTGTTTTTTTTTTGCAGGGTAGGGTCTCCCAAATTACTTGCCTGGGACTGGCTTTGAACCTCAGTCTTCCTGAGTAGCTAGGGTAACAGGCATGAGCCACCGGCACCTGGCTTTCCCAAATTTTTTTGAAGAATTTTACAGTTGAAATAGTCCAGTGAATTCACAGTATACTTTAACCAGTCACCATTTAACATTTTTCTTTTACTGAACCATCTAAAAGTCAACTGTAGACATCTTGTTTCACTCCTATTTGTATCCAAAGAATAAGGTTATATTCCAACCACTGTGAATAACCCTTTATACCTAAGAAATTTAACATTGTCTTACCACCTACACAGTCAGTCCAGTTGTCCCAAAAATGTCTTTCACTTCAGTCTTCTCCAGCTTCACATTCCCCAGTTGTCATCTCTTTGGTCTTTTAAAACAGTTATCCTGCTGTTTTCCCATGCCTTTTTTTCCCCATGACATTTTGAAAAGATCAGCACTGCACAACCTTCTGGATTTGTTTGCTCATGATCAAACAGTTTCTTGTTACAAGATTTTAGCAGGAGCATCTTACCTTGCCCCAGGGTGTAGCTCAGTGATAGAGTACTTGCCCAGTATGTGAGGCCCTGGGTTCCATCCCAAAATGAACATCTCAGGAGTCAGCCGGGCATGGTGGTACATACCTGTAATCTCAGCTCTTGGGAGATTGAGTTACAGGTCTGGGCTACATATCGAGACCCTGTCTCAAAACTGAAAATCTCAGGGGAGATAGGTCCTTCTTGGTGCATCCCATCAAGAGCACCACAGGCTGGCTGATGTATTATTGGTGGATCCTGTCACATGGGATTTTTTTTTTTGGTGAGTGGGGGGGAGCATTTTCTGATAGGCTATTAAAAACTATACATCAATTCCATTTATTCTGTTCTGATTCACACACACTTTGGAATGATACATTTGGCCAATTTGCTGCCCTCCTGTGGTGGTACAGAGGTTTCTCAAAGAACATTCCAGTGAATTATTAGAGCAGAAAGGCCCTTGCTACTACTTGAACACCCAGATCCTATAATGAATTATCTGTATGTGTTTGGTCTAGTGAAATTTTTTCCCATTCTGGCTGTCTTAGAACAGTTGCAGAGTGACATAAATGGGCCACATCACTGTAGGTGTACAGTTAAGACATTAGCAAAGCAGTCTTACCTTAGTGGCAGTACTGCCATTCTTGATCTTTGGCAGAAACCACCCACACATTTTCTTTTGGCAGAATACTAGGCTGCCACAGATTTAAAGTACCAGAAACAACTTGGAGGAGTATCACCAAAATACCCAAATGTTTAACAAAGACACTTTCCAGTCAAGGGTTCACATAACATAATGCCTGCTTGGCTCCCTACTGATCCTCAGCATCATAGAACACAAGCTACTTGTGGAATAAATGGGTCTGTAAAAAAGAAAAAAGGGCTGGAGGTGTGGCTCAAGTGGTAGAGCGCTTGCCTACCAAGCATGAGGCCTGAGTTCAAACCCCAGAACCATCAAAACGAGTAAGGGCTTAGAGCAGTGGCTCAAGCAGTAGTGTCTACCTGGCAAATTGTGAAACCCCAAGTTCAAACTTCCATTATCACCAAAAAAAGGGAAGGTCCTTGTGCTCCAAGTTGACAGCTTTTCAAGGTATCTTGTTACTAAAAAGGGGGTGGTGTGGAAGGGAACTGCATAGCTCAGTGGGCAGAGCATGCAAAAAGCTGTGTGTGTGGGGGTGGGGTGTGTGTGTGACAATGAATGCTTCCTGCTACTGGAAAGAAGGGAATAAATACATCTGACTAACATGGCTGGATAACCAGAGCGACACAGAACAGGCCACTCTGGGCTCCTCAGAGGAAAAACAGGTGTGAGGATGGCCCCAATCCTACAGCTGACTCCTGTCCTTATACCACCTCATTTCTCAGCCAGGAGGGTCTCTGCTAGCTAAGTATCTCCCAGTTCAGTTCTGCCTTGACACTACTTACTGCTGGCCCTTGGTCCCCTTCTCTCCTGCAAAATAGAGGAATTAATTTATGACACCAGCTTCATGCTAACTCTCATTAAGACTTAGGCAGTTCACATGTTACCTGTGTCAACCCCAAGGAACTAACACTGCCAGGAACAGAAGAGGCAGCTGGGGGTGGGGGCACACACCTGGAATCCCAGCACTCAGGAGGCTGAAGCAGGAGGAACGAGGGTTTGAGGTCCTCTGGGCTACACAGTGAGACCCTGTGTCCAAATAAGTAAAAAATGGGTGCTTGATGTGTGTGACAAAGGAAAGCAATGCCAAACTGACCTTCCAGGAGGAAAGAGTTGCCCATCCTCCAAAACGTAACTGTTATTTTGGAAAGAGAGCCTGAGGTAAGAGATGCTAATAATACCAACCCATAGCATCTGATAATCCATTAGCTAATGGAAGGAAAAAAAATGTTTAAAGCAGGAGTCCTTTCTTCATGAATACATTAATTTCTTCTGAAACTTGTTTCAGGTACACTGCTGGAAAAGTCGTATTTTTATTTATTTGGCTTTTTGACACAGGTTCTGTGTAGTCCAAGCTGGCCTCAAACTTGTGATCTTGCTGCCTTTGCTTCCAAAGTGCTGGAACTACAAGTGTGCATAATTATGCCTAGGCTGTGTATATGTATAGTTTTTTTGTTGTTGTTTTAAATACAGGGTCTCACTATGTAGGCCAGGCTAGCCTCAAATTCTTTTTTCCTCTTTTTTTGGTGGTACTGGGGTTTGAATTCAAGGATTCACACTTGCTAGGCAGGCCCTCTACTTGAGCCACTCCTCCAGCCCACCAAAGTCTTATTTTTAATATTAATGAATATCAATGATGTATCACACAAATCTTTAAAAATATTAATGTCAATATATAAAGGCACTTTGTAGACACTGAGACAAAAGCTGGTTTTATAGATTTATTTTCAAAGGGCAAAGCAAACTATTTAAATACAAGTCCAGCGAAGTGGCTGTCAAATTCCCCACGTCCGGGCGCACTCTCCCTTGCAGATGCTCACTGCTATCATCTGAGTCCTCTCTGTGAGGAAAGGGACCAGCAACGACAAAGTGGGATCAGTATTTCTTTCCGGTGTGCAGTCACTGACTCTTAAATGACTTCTCTTCGGTGTAGCTAAGCATTATAAACACTCATACAATTGTTAATTGAAAAACTCTCACCATTTACCATTTTTGGAGCCTAAGTAACAGTAGCTAGTATTTACTGGGAGGGGGGCCCGCCGGTGCACACAGATTATTCAGTTTTACCACCACAAAGCTCCAGGTAGGTCCTGCCATCATTCACACAGTACGTGAGGAAACTCACAGGAATTAAGCAGCCTGTCCAGCATCACCAGGCTGACAGCACAGAAGAGAGTTGAGAATAATCTTGGGTCTCTCCCAAGCCCATCCCCTTATCCAGGAACTGTGCTCCCCTGAGGCAGAGCCAAGCCACCTCAGCTTCCTCTGGGTGAGTGCAGAGGGAGACAGAGGTCTGCTGCAGGTTGTATTTCTCGAAACCCTGCTTTTATGAGGAGGGCTGATAATCAAGGGAGTCCAGTCCAGAAATAACTGTTCTCAGCTGCTTGAGGATAAAGATCACCCTCTTCAAGTACTGGACAAACAGAAGTGTCCTGCATTTCACTTTTTCATTTTTGCTTTGAGACAGAGTCTCACTATGCAGCCCAGCCTGGCCACGAACTCACAGCCCTCCTGCCTAGCCTCTCAACTGCTGGGATTGCAGCTGTGCACCACCATGCCCAGCTCCGCCTTCATTTTACATATTTTATCTCTGTCAAGTATTTCCATCTTTCATTTCTCCTTAAGTCTTGCTTTAGTGAAGAAAACACATTAATTTATTGGAGAACATCATGTCTATCAGATTATTTACCTGATATTTTATTCATATACATCCTTCTTGTCTGCAATGTAATCTACAATTTCTTGTGGACACATTAACTTTTCTGCATCTATATCAGGAATTTCAAACCCTAAAATGAAAAAAATAGCAACAACATGTAAGTATAGAAGAAGGAAGCTCTCTGGAACTGAAAGCTCTTTGCCCTTCAGTAACACCCACAAAGGTCAACACTGCCAGCAACCCGAATTCCATTTAGTTTGTGAGCATGGCAGGTTTCAGACTCTTAGGTGTATCATGTGAACATAATTTTTTAGAATTAGCATAATAGAAAACTCCTTTTAAAGTAGATACAGCTCAACAGCTTTTAGTATATTTATGACTGTGCAACCATCACTACGATCTAATCTCCTCAAAATTAATGTAATTAATCAATCTAATTCCCCTGAAAAGAAACCAAGGCCCCTCAGTAGTCCCTGCCCACCATCCCCCCCTTAATTTCTTGAGCTATTTGCTCAGGCTGGTTTTGAACCAGGATCCTTCTGATCTCTGCCCCCCAGGTAGCTAGGATTGTAAGCGTGAGTAGCAGAACAGAATTTTAACTACGCCTTGCTCTGTAAGATGGCAGGCAGGGGAAGTTCCTTTGCGTTCCATTCAAGCAACTCACCCAGAAATGAGCCCTGAGCTTCATAAAACCGTCTTGAATAAAGGCAACTTGGACTGTGCATTCAAGACACTGTAGGAGACCAAGGCCAGAAGGCTGTGTTGTGTGTGTGTTGTGTGTCAGCATACCATGGGGGAGAGGGGGCGGCCCAAGGTGTCATCCCTTCTGTACACGAACTTTCCCTCTTTCTTCTTGAAACCCTATTTTAGGACTATTAAGTTACATGCTCTCCTGGGCCCTTTCTGGCTAGCCAACTTAGTCCCATCCTGGGATCTCTGTTGGGCTACACTGTCCCTAATATTTACTTCACCTAAGCATGGGAAAGTGTGTGGGGAGGTGCCCTACTGTTTCTATTAATATTTTGCTCAAATCCAGTCCCCCAGCAATTCTTTCAGCTAAATGAAGAATCACAATATGCAGATCCAAGGCTAAGCTTGTGCATGTTACCAAATTCATCTTCCATGGCCATGATAATCTCCACTTGGTCCAAACTGTCTAAGCCCAGGTCTTTCATAAAATGGGAATTTACCGAGAGCTGCAAGAGAGGAACACCAACACAAGTCTTAGCATATGCTTCCCAAGATCATTATACAGATTTAAAATAAAAAAAAAAAGAGGCCTTAACAAACTTGACACAGTTAATCAATGTTAGCACATACATGGTACACTTTATGTTACTTTTGTTTTCTTTTTTGGCAGCACTGAGGTTTGAACTCAGGGCCTTCCACTGCTAAACAGGTGCGCTACCACTTAAGCCACACCCTAGCCCAGGAAGAGTTCTTTTAAAAACAAACAAACAAACAAAAATCCATGCCAAAAACAAACTGTTGTAGACTGGTGGAGTGGGTTCAAGTCGTAGAGTGCCTGCCTAATAAGGCCCTGAGTTCAACCCCCTGTACCACCAAAAATAAGAAAACTCAAACTGTTCCAACGTACACAACAGATTCTATTATTAAAGGACTAGGTTTTTTTTTCCTTAAATGATAAGAAAAAGTTCAAGAAGAGTTGTTTATAATATACCACTTGTATTTTTGTTTTTTTTTTAAAGGGGGGGGGTGTGTGTGTGTGTTGATGCTGGGAAATGAACCCAGGGCTGCTTGCATGCTAAGTGACTATGCATTCTACCACCGAGTCCCCCCTTCCTCAGCCCACTGTGTTTTTAAGAAGAGACATAAATACATATGCAGGCAGTCTCCCTGAAAGATAGGAGAAGCTGGTAACACTGGCTTCTCCCAGCAGGGGTACAAGGTGGCTGGAAGTCCAGGAGACTTTTTACTCAGTATTCTTTGGGGCCTTTGATTTTCATACCATGTAATCAGATACATCAGTTACCTTTTCTGGGTCAATCTTGTCGTAGAGTTTCAAAACGTACAGAACTCGGTCCTTGATTCCCTCTAATGTCAAAGGGGGCAGGTCACTGTACTGACGACACAACTGTGTAACACTCCCTGGAACCTAGAGGGAAGGCAGGAAGGAAACATCACCAAACCAGAAATGCGTGCCTCTGAGTCAACGTGTGAGTCCACTGATGCCCTTTACAAGGCTCTGCAGAACCCACATCACTGGATTCTAACCAGATCACTGGGCCACAGGGCTCCCAATCTGGGAAGTTTCAGAAACTGAGTGTGCAGAGGCATCAACGTAGACCCCCTCACCAGGAGTCCCAGAATGACCTGGGCTACACAGTGAGGCCCTGTCTCCACAAACAAAAACAAAATAAGTCTCCTTTCCATTCAAAGCCAGGCCTGGCCCCTCTGACCCTGTCCCTAGGCTTGAACGTCATCCTGTTGAGTGAGGTTTACTGCCACTATAATCGTACCAGGTCTGCAGAAAAGTCTCCTCTATGGCCTCCACAAGACTCTCCCACCTGTAACAGGCTGATGGCAATCAGAGTAACCGGCCTGGACACAACCCTCATGGGATACTGAAAGGCAGTTCAAACTGAGGCCTGTATACTGGGAAGGTCTAATTTGGCTTCTGAGGTAATTACACTGATCCAAGCCAGTCGTCATACTCCAATCTATTTCCCTACCAGGTAGCCTGGCTCTACTGCCACTTTCCAAACCACGAGCCTTTCTGAGTTCTGCCATGACAGAGAAATTAGCATGTCAAGTGTTTCTGGCATTAGCCTGCTTGCTTGGCACTAGGGTCTTGCCTATAATTCATTCACCATTGTGGGACGTGCTCCATCTCACAGGGCCGGGGCTAATGCCAAGGAAGGGACAATACAGAGCAAGGTAAACCAAACTTGTGTCTGGCAGTTTTACATGCTATGGAATTCCCTAATCTACACTGTCTTATCTTCTGATGTTGGTTTTAAGTCTGAGATTGAGAGGATCACAGTTCCAGGCCATGCTGAGCAAAAAAGTGAGACCTCATATCTATAGGAAAAAGTTGAGTGTGGTGGTGCATTCATGTCATCCCAGCTATGGAAGGAAGTGTAAATTAGGAGGATCGAGGTCCAGGCAGCCCCGGACAAAAAGAAAGATGCTATCTCAAAAATAACCAGAGAAAAAATGGCTACAGGTATGGCTCAAGTAGTAAAGTGCCTGCCTATCAAGCATGAATCCTTGAATTCAAACCCCAGTACTGCCAAAAACAAGCAAATAAACAAACAAAAAAAAACCTGAACCAGTATATACTTCTGTGTTAAAGAACATTTACTTTGTATAAAAAGTAGGTATTGAAATCAGGTTTTATAGTTGAGCCAGGGCATGGTGGTGCACACCTGCAGTCCCAGCACTTGTGAGGTAAAGGCAGTAGGATCTAGAGTTGAAGGCCTATCTGGGCTACATAACAAGATTCTGTTTTAAAAACCCTCCCCCCCAAAAAAGATTTGTTGAAGAGTTTCAGGGATATTCTAAAATATTTCTATGCACTTTCAAGAGTGGCAGGCACTTTTCCATCTAAATCCATGGCCTCCTTTCCTTTCCTTTGCTATTACATACAGCATGGATTTAGGAGACCTCTGATAGGGACACCTCACCAGGCCTACTTATCAACCCCTGGAAGAGATCTCCAAGTCTCAGATGAAGCAGAAAGGATTTCTGAAGTTCAGGGGTAGTGACAGAAAAGTTTAAGTTGAGGTAGAAGGATCCGACAGAGGCCCTGTGTGCATTTTGAGAGACGGAATGAAGATGTGACTAAAAATAACAGAGGACTGGTGTGAGGCAGAATTTATGCTAGGAGGTGAAGAGAAGGAGAAGGCGGCCAAGTGCACCAGGCACAGTGGTAAAGAAAGGAAAGAGCTGATGCAGAACATCCTGCACAGCTACCCACATGACCTGCTAGGTGTCAGCACCATCCCAAATGGCACTGGCAAGTACTTCTGAGGGCCAGAGGCTTCTCTGTGTGGAGACCACAGGCCAAGCTGAGTAGCTAGGTGCAGTGCAGTCAGCAAGAGGCCAGGCTCCGGAACTAGACTGCTGCCTGCTGCCACTGGCACACTGGTACTGGCTCTTACTGCCATCTAGCCTTGGACAAGCTATCTTTTGTATGCCTCAGTTTCTTTGGCTGTAAAGCAAGGATAAACCATAGTACCATGCTCAGAGGAGCGTTGTGAGGCATCAAGGAGACGAAGTACAGACCTTGAACACTGCCTGGCACACACAGACACAGTAATTTAGGGATATCTAGTAGGAATGTGATGACAACTGGCCAGTTTAACACCTCACCTATAGTATCCCCTCCTCCCCCTAATACTTCATTTTGTTCCTTCCTCTGGTCTCCTTTTTTAAAGCAGTGCTGGGATGAAACCCATGGACTTGTGCAAGTGCTCCACCAGCTATATCCCCAGCCCTTTTTGAAATTTTCCTTTGAGATGGTCTCACTAAGTTGCCTGGGCTGGTCCTGACCTCTGTATCCTCTAGCTTCAGCCACCTGAGTGCCAGGATTATAGCTGTGCACCACCACATCTGCCACTCATTCTCTTTAAGGACTAGGGATTGAACCTAGGGCCTTGCACATGTGCTGTATCACTGAGACATACCCTAGTGTCTCCCCTTCCTAATTTTGAGACAAGGTCTAAGTTGCCCAGGTCAGCCTCGTACTCATGATCCTCTAGCTTCAGCCTCCAGAGTAACTGGTATGCTAGGCATGTGCCCCCACATCCTGTCTCTTCACTGATTTCTTACCAATAAATAAGGCTGTGTTACTTACTTCCCTAAGCTCCTTACACACATCACCACCCTACGCTATCAGAGTGACCATGTGAGATGTGTGGCACTGTCACCCCCTTTTACAGATGGAAAAACTGAGGCAGAGAATTTATGACCTCTTGGAGTGTCATTCCTTCTGCCAGATCTCAACCATTAAAATAAGAAATTATAAAAAATGAGCAAGCTCCTTCCCAAGAGTCAACAAGGGTTGTGGTCCGTATTATCTGTTCTTCTTCAAGACCTAAACTTAACAATTGTATGTGACACAAATTGCCCCACCAGACATCAGAGACAGCAGTGTTGGGAGGCAGCAACCCTCCTCTGGACCACTGGAATCCCCTGGGGACCTCTGCCTATGCAAAATACAGAGGCAGTAGGAACAGCTTTGAAGACCATCTCTACAACCATTGCACAGCTCTGCCCATGCATCCCAGTCCAGGCATCTCAGACCCCATACTTATTTCTAAAACTCTTGCTTGCCTCTCTACCACCGGGGCTCTCACCAGGAACCCCAGAGCCAACCTGTGTGCTTCCCATTTGCTCACAATTGTGTTTGATAAGTCACCTAGGCTGGCTCCTGGGGAGGAACGGTCTCATTTATTCCTTCAATAAGAGAACAACAGTTAGTATAAGGCCTGGTACATAACTGTCTCTCTCAAAATCATTTTGTAACTAAATAGAATGGTTCCTCTGCTGTAGAGGTAAACCAGGCAGAGGTGGGGGAACATCTTAAAGCATCATGCTATTCAAGCAGGGGCCAAGTGGGATCTTCCAGGAGCCCACTGAAAACTTTCAGGCCCCTTCCCAGACCTACTGAATCAGACTCTGTATTTGAATCCTGGTGATCTGCATGAGCAACCAAGCTGGAGAATTAATGCTATAAGAACAGTGTCAGTTACTTTACATTTTAGTCTTTACATTTTTTGTTTTGTTGTTTTGGCAGAACTGGGGCTTGAACTCATGGCCTCATGCTTGCTAGGCAAGCTGTCTACCACTTGAGCCGTTCAACAGCCTGCTCACTCTGCAGGCAGATGAGTGACTGGGTTTTGTGTTGGGTATTTTCAAGATAGGGTCTCCCAAACTATCCTCCTGATCTCTGCCTCCAGAGTATCTAGGATTACAGTGTGAGCCACTGGCAACCAATAAGCCTAATGTTGAAATCACAAGCCCTATCAATTAGTCCATAACAACATCAGTGAATCTTGACACTAGTCCCACAAAAGAATCACATGATTTTAGGCTCTAATAGATTTGGCTGGGCATCCTTATTTTTTATTCTAACAGCCAGTCACGCTCAAATCCACTATTACAGGAAGCCAGTGAATATGAAAAGGGGTTCCTCAGCTTGACCTTGGGAGTCTCACCTACCTTAAGGCAATAGTTCTTAATCTTAGATGCACTTCAGAGTCACAAGGTGAACTTAAAAACAAAACGCCATGCCAGGCCTCATCCCAGAGGGGTAAACCAGAAGGGGAGCGGGAGGAGGGGTAAGTCATTCAGATGATTTGAATGTGCAGCCAGAGTTGAAAATTGCTGCCTTACACAGGTTTCATCTGATAAGCTACATACTGCTTGTTTCCTAGCCTTCCTTCCTGTGCCACAAAGGAAAGCCAAGTCGGAGATCCACGGTGAGAACTAGTGTGGAGAAGGCTGCAGCGAGTGGCTTGCTCTGCGCGTCCTGTCATTAGTCTTCGCCGTGAGAGTGACCGGGCATTTAGCGTAACCGCTGCAACTCCGAGCGTGCCAAGTGCCGCACAGTTGCTCCTCCCGCTCCACCTCTCACGCAAGCCTCGCTGCCAGGCCACGGGGAGAAACTGGAATCCACCTCTGTGCTCTTCTCTAACATCAGGTCACCCGCCAAACGGCAGGGGTCAACCGAGCGGCAGCGCTGGGGGGCCTGCCACACGCCGGGGTCCCCCGCCCGCAGCTGGCGCGGCCCGTCCCCCCACCCCGAACCGCGCGATCCCTGACCCCTGCCGAGCCCCGCAAAGTCACCGTTAAGTCACCTGTGCGAACGGCGAGGCCGGCTGTGTCGCCCCGGCCCTCCTCCGAGTGCCCACGGGACACAAGGCAGTGCTGAGCGGCCGGGCTAGGGCCAGCGTGGGGACCCGCGGCAGCGGCGCGAAGGCCGCGGGCAAGCGGCGGACACAGGCGGAAAGGACACGAGCCGCCATGGCTACGCCGACCCAAGATGCACTGCGCAGCGTCCTCCCGCCCAGGTTTCCTCTCCCGCTGCGCGCAGGCAATCGCACAGAGCGCCGCAATCGGGCACCGCTGGCGGTGGCGACCCCTGGCGGCTCCTGGCGGCACTGCGCCCCGAGGGCCGCGCGGTCCAGCCATCCAGGTTCGGAACTGAAGGGCTACTTTGGTGCCAACCTCACAGGAGCCCTTAATCCACTCCTAAATGCTGTCATTTAGGAAGTTGTTTTCATTTCTTCTAGAAAGTTCTGAAATACATTTGATTAAAAATTTCGATGCTCCGGCTCTTCCTTAGGTAATAAAATTTAATAGGTTGAAAATTCAGTGCACAGAATGTGAAAAAGTAATGATTTATATACGTAACTAAGACTAGTATCCGCCCCCCTGAAGTCCCAGCTTCTCAGGAGGCGGAGGTAGGAAGATCGTGTGAGCGCAGGAATTTGAGACCAAACTGGGCAACATAGTAAGACCCTATATAGGAGCAATAAATTAAACTTAAATACATGTAAAATGATCCGGATGTGGTTGTACACATCTGTAATCCCAGCACTCAGGAGGCTGAGGCAATAGGATCGTTAAGTTAGAGGCTTGCCTAGGTTATATGTAGTGAGATCCTGTCTCAGAATGAGCAGATGAACGAATGTGTGAATGAATAAATAAATGTGTAAAATAAAGACTAATGTGGAAAAAAAAAGGGGAGGGGGGCTGGAGGCGTGGCTTGAGACAGGTAGATAACCTGTTTAGCAAGCATAAAGCACCAAAAAAAATCCGGTTAAAAACAGCACACATTTTAAAATCTTGCAATGCATAGGTGGTACAGTGCTTGCAGCACTTGAGAAAAAGTAAAACTTCACAACGAATAAACAATATAGCTAACACAAACAGGCAAGCAGGGGGTTAGGTATACTAGTTTGCACACATAACCTTAGGGAGTCTAAGGATATTGAGTGTGTGTGTGCAGCAGTGTTGGGGACTGAACCCAGGGCCTCCTGCTTGCTAGGCAAGAGCTCTTCTGTCACCGAGCCACACCCCCAGCAGGACATTGGCTCAAATTGCAACAAACAGAACAGAGATTCCAAACTCCCACCCCTCCCTAGATGAATAATCCAATGACTTCAGTTTTACTTGCTTTTATTTTTAGTAAATTCAAGTAAAATAAGGCTTTTGATTAAACTAGAATGAATAGGAGGAGGTAAAGAAAGTAATATACAGCTGGGTACCGGTGGCTCATGCCTGTAATTCTAGCTACTCAGGAGGCAGAGATCAGGAGGATCAAAGCCAGCCCCCCAGCAGATAGTTTGTGACACCATATCTTGGAAATACCCAACACAAAACAAGGCTGGCAAAGTGCCTCAGGGTGTAGGCCCTGAGTTCAAACGCTAGTACCGCAGAAAAAAAAGTAATACAGGCTGAATTTGACCAAAGAGGTTTGTATACATGTATATAAATATCACAATGAAACCCGTTTGTGCAGGTAATTTATGCTAATGGATTTTTTAAAAAAATGAATAAAGTAGAATGCATGTAGTGATCTGCCGTTGTACAATTATTTCTATTTATGCATCCACTAAAAAAAATCAGTATCGGTTGTTAGCTAGCTGTTGAGGCCACCACAATGAGCAAGCCAGAGAGGCAATCTGTCCTGATGATGACACATTGTACACATGGATTGAATAGTCACACTGGACCCACAAATTGTCGTGTGTCCATTCAAAATTAAAAAATAATTTTAAGGCTCGTGGAGTGGCGCAAGTGGTCAGAACACTTACTTCTAGCAAGCAAGAAGCCCTGAGTTCAAACCCCAGTACCACCAAAAAAACACAAGAAAAAATTTAAAAAATATTTGCACTTACACAAAAATGACCATGTAATACCAAACAAAACACCAAAACCCCAGGAAGTAGTGACAGTGCAGTGAAGAATGAGGCAGGGAGGGCCAGTGAAGGATGACAGAAGTGTGTTCTTTTAGTAAGTGTGGCCTCTGAAGGCCACCCGTTGGGTGATGCCTGAGTGCTCACTGAGTCCAGGGAGGGGAAGCAGAACTCTAGAATCACTCTGCTGCTGGGGAGGCTAAACAGGGTCTCCCTACAGGGCCAGTGGTCCCTCCCACCCCTGCCCTGCTTGTTAAACAATTGGAAGAGCAGCTGTGTCAACTCTGTGGGACAACCATGAGTAAATAACCAAACTCCATTGTGAGGCTTAGTGTCACAGGGCTCACACCTGTAATCCTAACTATTTCAGAGATTGAGATTAGGAGAATCAAGATTCGAGGCCAACCTGGGCAAATACTTTGAGAGACCTCCTCCTTCTTTCCCATCTCCAAAACAACCATAGCAAAATGTGTAAGGCCCCAACTCAAATTAGCCTAACCGACTCCATTTTGTAAAGGACTCCATGTTGTCTGGCAGGAAGACTGTTCTACTTTGTTTTGCAGAAACTTTTTCTGGACTCAAGGGGAGCCCCACTTGCATCCTGTTGACAACATAGTCTGATCACATGGTGTGATAGAAAGGATTGTACAGGCTAACATACAACCACCTTGCAGAACACCCAAAAACTGGCTACCCCAGGGCTTCCTGGAACAGCTAGCTAAACAAAAAACCAAGATGTCAGGAATATATTCCCTCTACATCTTAGATGCTTATAAACCCCAACCTAACTTTATTCTGGGCCAATATCTCTTAGAATCCGGCCCCCTTCCTTGCTTGGAAAGTGATTAAAACTTTCCTTCTGTTTCAGTCCTCTACCATTGGAGCCACTCAGCCAGCTGGTTTGTTTCTGTTTTTTGAGACAGGATCTCACTCAGTACCTTTGCTCATCTAGGCCTCCAAGTTGAGATCTCCTGCTTCTGCTTCCCAAGAGGCAGGGATTACAGGAGTGTGCACCTTGCCTGGCTGTACTCTTAACCTTTAAACACACAAGTTTTCCAAGTTTTTGTAATTGAGTCACTTCAAAGGCTTTGTGTGTGTGTGTTTCTTTTTCATCGTGAATCTCTCTCCAGTTCTATTTCATTCCCACAGCCTCCGCCTCAGGTCAAGCCATCACAGGGGTCTCCTGCCTCCACTCTTGGCCTCCACAGATTGATTGCTCACTCTTTAGCTAGGTAGTCCTCACTGCTCAGCCCCTCTAGGGCTCTCTTCACCTGCAGAATCAAGCCCAGGTTTGTTAGCATGCCTCCCACGCCCCAGGCCACCTTTGCTGCTTCCTCCCTTCGTTCTCAGTAGCACTTGAGTGTCTGCAGTGCACACCTTGCTGTCCTTTCTGCCTTTGCTTCTGCTTCACCTATATCCTGCTAAACTGCCACTGCCCTTGAAGCTCTTCCTGGTTATGCTAACTGTTCAGTCCGTGAGTTTCTGTAACAGTGCCCAAGCAAACCCAGAACACTTAAAGCAGTACTTACTTCTCTGAGTACCCACGACACTTGGTACTCCTCCAGCGCAGGGGCCTCACAACAATCTTTTTCATATCTATTATGGGGCTGGGGGAGTGGCTCAATTGGTAGAGAGCCTGTCTATCAAGCATGAAGCCCTGAGTTCAAATCCCAGTACAGCCAAAAAATGAAAACAAAACCAACCAACCAAAACAACCCCTCCCAAACCCAAACCTATGGTGACAAGTATGTGCTGTTCTGTAGTTACTGAGCTGGAATTACTGCCTAGTTCAATTCAGTTTTCTTAACTATTTTTTTTGTGGTACTGGGGCTTGAACCCAGGACCTTCACCTTGAGCCACTCCACTAGCCCTATTTTTGGGAAGGGTTTTTCGAGATAGGGTCGCTTGAACTATTTGCCCAGGCTGGCTTTGAACTGCGATCCTCCTGATCTCTGCCTCCTGAGTAGCTATGATTACAGACATGAGCCACTGATGCCCAGCCAGTTTTCTTAACTCTTAAACCAGGATAATTTTGTTTCTCAGGGTTTTTAGTATATTAAGTCTCATGAAGAACACCTGTTAACTGTGCTGTGACAGCAAAGACAGTACCCTGCATTTGAGGCTAGAGATAATAGGTACAGGATTAGCACAGGAAAGTTTTCTTTTAAAAGGATCCAAGGGTAAGAATGAAGTGAGCAAAAACCACCATAGTAGATGTAAGTGTCTTTAAAATATATACTCTAAGGTTGGGCACAGTGGCTCATGTCTGTAATCCTAGCTACTTAGGAGGTGGAGACAGAGGATCCGTTTGAGGTAAGCCCAGATAAAAGTTCTCGAGACCCTGTGTCAATCAATAAAATCTGTCTGTAGTTGCATGTAACTGTCATCCTGGCTTCATGGGACACACTAACAGGATGGTGGTCCAGGCCAGCCCAGCAGAAACTCGAGACCTTATTTGGAAAACTAAATCAAAAGGGCTGGGAGCATGGCTCGAGTGGTAGAGCACCTGCCTAGCAAGTGCAAGGCCCTGAGTTCAATCCCCAGTACTGCCAAAAAAAAAAAAAAAAAAAATTCTAAGGCAGCCGGACATGGTGGCACACACCTGTACTGTGATCTTAACTACTCAGGAAGTAGAGACAGGAGGTTCATGGTTCGAGGCCAGCCCAGGCAAAAAAAAATCAGCAAGATCCTATCTTAAAAACAAGCCAAAACCTGGCACTGGTTCGCATCTGTAATCCTAGCTACTCAGGAGGCAGAGAACAGGAGGGCCACACTTTGAAGCCAGCCGGAGACAAATAGTTTGAGAGATCCTATCTCGAAAAAACCCAATACAAACCAGGACTGATGGGGTGGCTCAAGTGGCAGAGCACTGGCCTAGTAAGCATGAGGCCCTGAGTTCAAGCCCCAATTCGCAGCACTGCAAAAAAAAAAAAAAAAAAAAAAGTTGGGGAAGGGACATGGTTATCTTACTGTAACGATGTTAGGCAAGTAGATACTTGTTTGGGATAAAATTTCCAGTAATCCTAACAAACTAGTACAATAAAAATTTCTGAGCTGGGCACAGTGGCTTCTGTCTATAACCAGCTACTTGGGAAGTGGAGATTGGAAGGATCAAGGCTTGAGAGTAGCTTGGGCAAAAAGTGAGATTTCATGTCAATCAGTAAAAGCTGGGAGAGGTGGCATGTACTTGCCATCCCAGCTGGGAGGGAAGCATAAAGAGAAGGATCGAGGTCCACGTGGGCCCAAGCATAAATACGAGTTCCTATTTGAAAAATACTTACAGAAGCAAGCACAAAGTCATGAGTTCAAACTCCAGTACAGCACTCATCATCATCATCTGTTTTGGTGTGCTGGTGCATGCCTGTAATCCCAGAATTTGGGAGATGGAGGCAGAATCATGAATCTGAGGCCAGCCTGTGCTGTATGTGAAACCTTGTCTCAAAAAACAAGCAAAAGAAAGCAAAATTTCTGTCTCTCAAATTATTTAGGCAAAGATGAAGATGACGAACTCCAATGCATCACTGATTGAGAGCCACTCTGAAGCTAGCACTGGTAGTAAGGACCCATGTGAGAATGACAAAAGCAACAGCACTTCTACATTAGGATATTTTAATGGATTTTGTGTCACTGTTAGATACACGTGAAGGTAAGCCACGCAAGCACCATAAGCAGCATACTGGATACTACTACATGAAGTTAATTAAGTCACTCCTGCTGTGCAAACACACTGACTAAATGCTCCAGTTGTAGTCATTAGTTCTTGGTTTTGAAAATGACCTGAACAGAATGGAAAAGAATATGCCAAGCCAAATGTATCAAAATAAATATTTATTAACATTTGAAGTCTTATGTACACCTTTAAAAGCAAATGTGCAAATGTGGGGAATTACAAAAACCACCCCAAATCCTTTACCCCCAAAGTGAGTATAAACAGATACTCAAGTCAGCAGTGCCACCACCGTCAGAATAAAGAATCCACCTGTCTGGACGCAGGAAGTAATTAGTTTAAATGTCACTCGGGTATTTTCCTTAGTTCTCCAAAAAGTATTAAGAGGCCAATATGCCTAGAAAACTATTTTTCTCTTTACTTATAAGTAACGGTATATAAATATATTTCCATCTTTCTGTCCGGCCAGCAAATGAGAATCTGTAGCTGACCACTTAACAAAAGACCAATTCTGGTCAGAGATGGGCGGAAGGAGAGCTGTGCAATGTCCTAGAAGTAAGTCCCAAATGGCGATTGTTCCGGAAGTCAAGACTGCTGCTGCAAAATGATCTTTCACATCTCCTTCCAGGAACCTGATACAAGCAGAGAAGAGAAAGCAGAGAAGAGACAACTCACTCCATGCTCAAAAAGTCTGCCTAAGAAATGGCCCAAACCATGCTCCCACAGCATTGCCCAGAACAAAACTCCCTGTAACCGCGAATGGAGAACAAAACTCCCTGTAACCGTGGGGACTGCTGGCTACTGTGTGGCAGGTTGGGACATGGCCACAAATCCTGTCCCTACCTATTCTCTGATGTTACCTTGCACCACTTGTACATTAGTGCACAGTGACCTTCCTGCCTCTCTTCACAATTAGCCAAACTCAGTCTCCCCTCAGTGGCTCTGCTCTTGCTCTTTTCCCAGTGGTCTCCATTGCCAGATATAGTATGGGTGGGTTCTTGTCATCATTCAGCTCTGTAACTGCCACAGAAGGTCCATACCCAATCAGCTATCTAAAGCAGTGCACGTACATACTCTACCTCGCTCTGTTACATTGTCTGTTTTTATCTTCACAGCACTTTTCACTATGTGAGATTATCTTATTTCCATATTCAGTGGTCTCCACAAAAACATAAGGTTGCCTTTTAAAGTGAAGAACTCTGCAGTCAGCTACTGGGCTGAATTCTAAGTCTACAACATAAAGTTGTGTGACCCTGAGCAGGTTAACTTCATCAGTAAAACAGGGATGGTAACGAGAGCTCCTACTTCACAGCAGCATTGTGAGGTTGAATGAAACGATTCACATAAAAAGCTGAGCACAATACATGGCCCATGGTAAGTGCTCATTAAAAATTGGCTATTTTATCACTCCCTGTCATACCAGCAGCATTTTGCAGAGCCTCAACGAATACTCTATGAACGAATTGAATGATACTTTTTTTTTTTGCTTTTTTTGGTGGCACTGGGGTTTGAATTCAGGACCTTGCACTTGCTAGGCAGGCACTCTACCACTAGAGCCATGCCCCCAGTTCTGATGGACACTTCTTAGCCCTTGTTCCTACTCAATTCTGTACCTAACTCCCAGCTCTTTAGAAGGTGATTAAGGTTCTCCTTGACAGTTTCTCCCCAATCCTGCACTGTGTAAGGTGCCCCCTGGTACCCCTCCATCCCCAGGCTATCAAACTAGGCAAACTCATGCAGAGCATTTTGTGCACTGAACAGCAGTCACTAGAAATATTGGTGCTTCGCCATGATTTGAATGTCTGTGTCCCCCAAGTCACTCTGTTAAGATCTAATCACCAGTGTGGTGGTATTTGGAAGTAGGACCTTCGTGATGTGATTAGGTCTGAGGACAGAACCCAAAGGAGTGAATTAATGCCCTTATAAAAGAGGTCCTTAGAGAACTGGCTCATCCCTTCTATCATGTGAAGATGCCAATGACGAATGAAGAAATGGACCTCGCGACACACTGGATCTTACTTCCAGCACCTTGATCTTGGTCTTCCTAGACTCCAGAAACAAACTTCTATCATTTTATAAACTACCTAGTCTATGGAGTTTTGTTATAGCAACTCAAATGGCACAAGTGAAGCTTCCTACAGGCTTTCAAGATTTGCTGAACAAATGGGTCTAAAAAAGTCACAAAGGAGGGGCTGGGAGTATGACTCGAATGACAGAGTGCCAGGCCTTGAGTCCAAATGCTACTATCACCAAAAACAAGACAAAACACACAACAACAAAAAATAGGGACAAAAGACATGCTAGAGCAAGTAGCTATCTTGATGACCAGTATCTAGGCCAATGAGAATGGTTCTCTCCTCACAGCCAAGGAGGTGAGCTCTATACATAAGGACTGCAGGTGATGGATCTAAGTTAGCGTTACTAAGAACATTTACAGAGGGCCACAGCTGGCTAAGTGCACAGGGAGAGAATGTCTTTTAAAATAGGCAAGCTTCATACAAGGTCTAAAGAAGCATGCATCTCACTATTAAGTTTCCTTATCCTTGAGTTGTTAAAGCCAAACCTTGTGATCCTGGTGTCTTATGTCTGGCTATTTTCAATCTTTGCTACTAATTCCAAACATTAATGCAGACTTTCAGCTGTTATTTGGCTGATCTAACAGTATCAACACTACTTCAACACTCTATACAGCTCAGAAAACTCCTGGGATGCCAACAACTGTGTCGTTGGCATTAGTCAATGAATAGACAAATGTTTATAATGGACTGATTGAAAGATCAAGGCTCAGTCATATTCAAAGTGAAAATGTCTTTCGAAAGTAGATTTAAAAGTTCCTTAATTTAGGTCTTACGGAAACAACCTAACTTGTAACCTACTTCCTTACATTCTTTTCATCTGTACTATCTCATGTTTTCTATTTATCATATATATCTCGTTTTGTGTCTGCACATGCCTCCCAGAATGTCCCACCCTTGAACAGAAGTTGCATACTTGCCTCCCAGCCTGTCCTTGGGGAAGGCAGTACAGCAGCACGCCCACATTCAGGGTTGTCTTAGGGTTGATCACCATCAGCTGAAACACAGGGCTTCCCAACCACTCACTCTCTTTGGCACAAGGATGACTCAGAACAACAAAAAGGAGTCCCTAATTTAGGAGAAAAATAACCAAACAGACATAAAGAGTACATCTGGCAGAGACAAAACTAAGGAATAATAAGAATGATCAGTAGGCATGTCAATATCCAAGATTTAATCACTGGCTTCATTATTCTTTTTTTGCAGTACTGGGGTTTGAACTAAGGGCCTTGCACTTGCCAGGCAGACCTCTACCACTTGGGTCTCACCTCCAGCCCTATTACTCTGCAGACAAGAACTGTGGGAGTTATTACCAGGCTGGATTTCTGGCTTCTCTAATGCGGGGCTCCCAGTTTTCTAATCATGAATCTAGCTCACTCATTGATTTCTTCTGCTCGAGATACTGAATCTCATGCCATCCTTTGGGAAAATGTTGGCCCAGGGAAATAAGGTGTATAAACATGTGCAGGAGTCCTCAAATTAGAAATACTCATTTGTAAATTAGTTTTTAAAAATTCAGAACACACACATACGAAAAAAACCAAAAAAACCTAAAAAACCAAAAACCAGCTGGAGTGGAGTGGCTCAAGCAGTAAGAATGCCTGCCTAACAAGCATGAGGCCCTGAGCTCAAACCCAGTGCTGTTAAAAAACAAAACAAAACAAAAAACAAAAAAAGATAAGAAAATAAATTCAGAACACATTTTCCCATAAAAACAATCTTGTAAGTGGAGATTGGATTCTTGGGCCAACTTGTAATGTCTTATCTAAAAGCAGACACTGCTGCTCTCTATTAAGAATTAAGGGTGACAAAAAAAATACCACTACCCATGCTTGTTTTTGTGAGAAAAATGTGATCTCACAGCTTTAAAATTACAGGTTTCAATGTTTCTGTGTGTTTATGTGTGCATACATCACACATAGCCATATTACACACTGAAAGCAGTTCTCATTATAAGACATGGAAAATTTTAGAATTTGCCACATTCTTCATTTTCTACTTTACACTTTCTAGAATGATTTAATTTTGTAGTAAGAATTACATGGCTTAGTCGTAGAGAGCTTGCCTAGCATGCACAAGGCTCTGGGTTCTATTTGGAATAAATACAGCTTCCTGCTGTAGCTGGGATGACAGGTGTGCACCACCATGTCCAGGTTTTTTGTTGTTGTGTTAAGATGGGGTCATGCAAACTTTTTTGCCTGTCTGTCTTAGAACCACAATCCTTCTAATCTCAGCCTCCCAAGTAGGTAGGATTACATGTATGAGCCACTGGTGGCCAGCTCTGTGTTAAATGTTTTAGTATCAAGTAAATACTAATGTTATAACACAAAAGACAGAAAATTATTTAAATGCTAAGTAAATTTTACAAATTCAACTTTTTTCCCCCCAATGCTAGGGATGGAACCTGGGTCCTTGCACATGCTAGGTAGAACTCTATCACTGAGCTACATCCTCAGCCCACAAATTTGGCCTTCACTTTTAAAGAATGATAAAAGGTACGTGTAAGATTATGTGACAGCTTTTCTAAGATCACACAATCTTGTGTTCAATTCCACAGATCCTATTAGGCTAGGTATTCAGCCTCTGTGCTGATTGTGCTCAGGTACCACTGGTGCTAGCCAAGCTGGCCTACATAAGCACCGAGCCTGTAGCTGGTGCCTCTGCTCATGGCTTTTCCACGGACACTCATGCAGTTCTTCCTCACTACACCTGGACAGCAACTTTCACCCTGCTCAGATGTTGTAACTAGATTGTAAGCCAGGTCTACTAACACAATGACCAAGTAACTGTTTCTATGTGAGAGCACCAACACCTAAGAGAAAACCATGTCTAGGACTATTTAATCATCCTTTCCAACAGTATTCATCATACATTGTGTATACAAGGTGGCTGGGAGTCCAGTCTGATAACAGGCCTAATATTTCTTAGTACAAATTCATAGCTAGGAATAAATGTTTGCTCTTAAGTCATACAACCAGAAAATTTGATAAGCAATCACAGTGCACCAACACTTTTCATTCATAAGCTTCAAGAAAACAAACATTGTTATCCAATTTTGAAAAACCAGGCAACAGCAGGGTCTACTAGTTACTACTGCTGTTGCTCTTACTCAGAGCGGCAACACCCAAGTACACAAAGTGCTCCAGAGATTACTCACCTTTTCAGAATAGGCTCTGTGACAGACTGAAGCATGACAAGAGTCATCAATGTGCATCTTTCTCAGGAGTTGACCAGTTTTTAAATTCCTTAGACACCAAAAACAAATAAGCGGATGACATTCTTACAGCAACTGGCTTTCATATATGTTATTGTGTTTGTGACAGCATCTCTTAGGAGGTGACTCCGGGAAAAACTAAGGGACATAGCACCTCTATTTGTTTCAGTCATGATTTAGCTATGAGAAGAGCTCAGGTTAACTTTACCAATAGTTAAATTAGATAGTTAGCCTTGGAGCAAATCTGCTCTGCCACTAGGAATAAATCTCTCCAAACTCCACGAGACGTTTTCTATGACTCACTCTACTTGGAATTGAAATTAGGCACACGCTATGTATAGGATTATCATTACGATCCTGTGACCCTTCTTTTTGTTGAGGTACTGGGGTTTGAACTCAGGGCCTCATCTAGTAAATCTGGATTGTACCTAGATACAACGACATGTTACAAAAACTCCAGATTCTGTTAGGCTCCTCTGAAGAATACTGAAGTTACTTATTTGCTTATTGAAGGAAATAGTCAACTTGGCTGAGTTCAAACTCCTCACCACAGTCCCTCTTCAGCTCTTTCTCGGTTGCATGGAGTCTGTCCCAGAGTTAAAAGAGTTGGCCAGACATGCAGATAACAAGGAGACTCAGAAGTTAGGCACCTTCTTTGACTGCTCTTTCTAAGGCTTTTCTCCCACTTCCCAGCTGTGTGGTCACCCCAAGCTCTGTCGTTTGGTCTGTATGGTTCCAGTAGGGTGGAAGGCTCTCCATCAGGTTTTTAGTCACTTGTGCATGGATAGGCCTCCCCAGCTTAAAGACACAGGAACAGAAACCTCTCACTGCCATTTCCTTCTTCCCTTGTCTCTTTCCTCTTTTCTTGTTCTCTGGTGTATTCAGAGAGATACTTTTTATATTTTGTCCAGAGTCTGTTGTTACTTGAGGTAAGAGTGCATCTGATAGAAGCTACTCAGCCATTAAGTGGAAGCAGAAGTAAAACAAGTGCACTGGCTTTTTCTGTTTATGTGGTCCTGTGAGTGGAATCCAGTCTTGCACACACTAGGCAAGTGCTGCACCACTGAGCTACATATGCAGCTCACAACTGTACATTTGTGATTTTAAAAAATTCTATTTATTTTAAAAGTCTACTCAGACAGATCTTTTTTCATCAAGTCTGCATTACTATGTATTCTTGGTAGACAAACAAAACATAACCATGCTATACATAACCTTTCCCTCCCTTTTTTTTATTGTTTAGTTTTTTGAGACAAGGTATGTAGCCCATGCTAGGCTTGAACTTGCAATCTTCCTGCCATAGCCTTCTGGGTGCTGGGATTACATGCATGTGCTAACATACCCATAACCTTTACATTTCTGTAAAGGTTCATTTTCATATAAAGATGGAGAAACTGAGGACCTTGAAAGAAAGCTTACCAGATAACAATGTTGTTCATAACAGTAGTACCAAGAAGAGCTTCCTGCATCTCTTGTACCTCAGCAAAAGTCAGTATAGTCTCTTCAGGAGGCATCAAAAACTGTTTTTCTTTGCTTCTGCATTTAGAACAGTATTAGAAATCAGTACTTAGCAGTTTCTAAGTAGTTCTTCTATATATTATTGAACTATGCATGATAAATATTAACCTAATACTAGAAAAAAATTTAACGCAGAAAACATACGTACTCTAAACTTCCTACAATGAACACATTTTTTTTCACATTAGCTACTTGGACATGTTGCAAGCACCTTAAATTCACCATATACAATACTAAACTCAAATTTTCTTCTTAAATCTCATTTCTTTTACATTCTTATCTCAACAATGGGCAACTACCTTCCCAGGTCACTGATTCTAAGATCTGGACATTATCTTTGTCTCCTTCCTCTCTGTCTAGTAATGAGCAGTGACTTTACTGTCTCATTTCCCACGAACTTCTCATCTTCACTAACAGCTGCCTAATTTAAGCAAATAATTACTGGTATATTGCCTAGATTACTGCAGCAAATCATGAATGAACAAGACAACCAGGGCTAGAGGAGTGTCTCAAGTGATAGAGCACCTGCCTAGCAACTGTTGACACCCTGAGTTCAAACCCCAGTGTCCCCCACCAAAATAAATAAATAAATAAAGAGAGAAAAACAACCAAGATCCTTGTCCTCTGTTACCCAGAAAGGCACATAAACAATCAAGTTTAACAGCCCTGGGTGTAGCTCAGTGGTAGAGTCACCAATCCTCGCATCAAAAAAGAAAAAAATTGTACAAGAAGATGCTCTGAGTTCAGTTTTCTACATGTTGAATTTGAGGTGCCCACGAGATGGCTAACAAGTAGGTTGTACAGGTCGAGAACTAAGAAAAAAAAGCATGTTTGCAAGTAGCCAGCATCTAAATATCACTGAAGTAATGGATACCAAGTGTGTGAACCCAGGAAAGGGTGCTGGACCTTGGGGTCCCCAGGACCTTGGGGTGCTTCTAACATGTACAAGACACAGATTCAAAGATGGCTGAAGAAGGAACAACTACATTTGCTGAGCATCCCCACTCTGTTGATACCTGGCTTATAGGCTGAACCTAGTTGCCGAGGCAGTACCTGTTCTACTAGGCCTACAGAACAGAAAAACAAAGACTCTGGTAATCCCGTCTCCCTGGAAACCTTTGATAAAACGCTTCTCTACCTAACAGATCAACCTGTACTTTCCTTACCCTCCATCTTCTGAAAGTGTCATAACTTCCACTTGTTGATCACAAAGGGCCCCACTACTACTCACTAGCCTTCTCTTGGTCAGGCCAAGAGCAGTTTTTATATTTCCAGATGTCAGCAGCACTTGCTTTTCACTTTCACCATCAGAGGACCAAAGCAATGCCCTAAAGGAAAGGCAAAGAAGAAGGTGAGTCAAAGGTAAGATTTAATATTAAAGGACTAAGAGCAAAACTTAAATACAAACTTCAATTAGAAATGTCATTCTATTATTTTTGTTTGTTTGTTTTGGTGGGACTGGGGTTTGAACTTGGGGTTTCTCACTTGCAAAACAGGCATTCTACCTCTTAAGCTACACCTCCAGTCCATTTTGCTCTGGCTATTTTAGAGATGGAATCTTGCAAACTATTTGTACAGACTGGCCTCAAATCACATTCCTCCCAATCTCAGCCTTCCAGTGTAGCTAGGATTACAGGCCAAACCACCAGTGCCTGTGCCTGGCAGACTTTTTTTTTTTTTTAAAACAAATCTCTCCTTTTATCTAAATTCAGATTTTTTTTTTTTTTCAGTACTGGGGTTTGAACTCATGGTCTACACCTTGAGCCACTCCACTGGTCCTTTTTTGTGAAGGTGTTTTTCAAGATAGGGCCTTGAAAACTATTTGTTTGGGCTGGCTCTGAACCGAAATCCTCCTGATCTCTGCCTCCTGAGTAGCTAGGACTACAGGTGTGAGCCATGGGCACCAGCTAAATTCAGATTCTTTCAAGACTCAAGCACAGGCTATAACCTGTACTCAAACAAGCCGACAGAGACAAAGAAAACACACACACACACAAACAGAACTAAAACAAAGAAAGAAATCACTTAGCTGAGAGCATGGCTCAAGTGTAGACCACCTGCCTAGCCTAGCAAGAGTGGGGCCCTGAGTTCAAACTCCAGTGAAGGAAATAAAAAAATCACTCCCCGAGACTTACCTGATTTCTCTGATTTCCAAATTTCCCAAAGCTACACACACAAGATTGCAAACATCAGGCACTGGAACTATTTGTAATACTGGAACCTAAATAAATTAAAGCAACCAACATTATATTTGATTGTTTCATTTTAATCTAAATTTTTCAGAATGTTCATATTCTTTGTATTCTTACTGTTGGATTATTTCCAACATTTGAACAAATGCAAGAAGGTTCAGAAAACACTCTTTTATAAACTATAAATCAAAACACGCAAAATTCGTATTTAGTTAGCATTTGTCTCATATTTGTTTTAGGCTAGGGTCTCACTGTGTTGCCCATTCTGGCTTTGAACTACTGAATTGTGATCCTCTTGCCTCAGCCTCCCCAGTAGTGGGAACTATAGTCATGTGTCATCATGCCCAGAAAGTTAGCACTATCTAATGCAATTTATACTTCTAACAGTATGGGAATAATTAAGTAAATTCTAGGAAATGAATAAATAAGGAGAATGTTATGCTGACATTTAAAATCATATGTAGGGCTGGTGGAGTGGCTCAAGTGGTAGAGCGCCTGCCTAGAAAGCACGAGGCCCTGAGTTCAAACCCCAGTGTTGCCAAAAAAAAAAAAAAAAAAAGAATACATATATAAAATCAAGTTGGGAACCAGTGGCTCATACCTGTAATCCTAGCTACTCAGAAGGCAGAGATCAGGAAGCCAATGCAGGAAGACAGTTCAAAAGATCCTATCTCAAAAATACCCATCACAAAAAAAGGGTTAATGGAATGGTTCAAGGTGTAGATATAGGCCCTGAGTTCAAACTCCAGTACCAAAAAAAAAAAAGTAAGTAGAAATAATGTTTTGGTGAAGGAGACGGTATACAGGTGTCACTAAGTTCAGAAGTCAGAATAGACACTCTTCCAGTAGGCACGGTGTAAAAGTCCAGCTCTGGACAAACATTCGCTTCAGCAAATAAAGCACAATACCAATGGTAGCATCTAGATGGTAGTACATGGGTGCTTGCTGTACTTTTCTGTAGGTTTGAAAATTTCAATTAAACAGTGTTGGGAAATAAACCTGTATCTCTGTTCTGCCAGGCATAGGCACAGATCCAAAATTTGCTAAGGTGTCCATCCAGATGGCTGTAAAGATGTCTTTGAGCTATAAGATTTGGACTTACCTCTGCAAAGTGCCAGGTATAAATTTTTTTCCATTGCCAAGTATCCATAGGTTTCCAAAGAGAAACTACATATTCACAAGCAGTTATGATACACGGCTCCTTAAATCCAGCTCTTTCCCACCACAGGGTGCTCACATCCACAGAACAGGAACTGGAAGGATTCTGACCCAGAAAGGCAAGAGCAGGTATGTTAGAGGGGTACTGAGGTCTGTTTTATGAAAAGATAAGCGTGCAAAGTGATGAACTACAAGGATTAAATTCCAGGTAAAGGAAATTTCACGCAAGTCACAAGAAAGCACCATAAAGGTCTTACATGACTAAAAGAACTGCCTACATACATTTACATCATACAAATTGTAACACGTGCCAACTCCAGAGCGGGGTGAAGACATAAGAATGGGACACATTCTGTTTTAATCACGAAATGATGGGCCGTAAGAACTTATCCATTCGGAAGTCAGATATCCTGGTGAACCACTCATGGGTTAAAGGGAATGATGCCACATACAATGTGCCATTTCTGATGAGTGTCAACACCCTGTAATGCCAGTACTTGGGAGACTGACACTGGAGGATCTCAGATTTGAAACCAGCCAGGCTGCATAGTAAATCCCATCTCAAAAGCAAAACAAAACCCCCCAGAAAAACAAAAACAAACCATAAAACCTCCCAAACCTGCCAAGTATGGCCAAAGCATTATTTCCAAGAGAAATTCACAGTCAGAATGGCATGAATTAGAAAACAAAATGATTGAAGGTGTAGTGGTACACATCTGTAGTCCCAGCACCAGGGAGGCTGAGGCAGGAGGATTGTGAGTGATCTGTTTCAAAAACCAAACCAAAACAACAAGATAAAAAACAAAATCAGCCAGGCACTGGTTGCTCATGCCTGTAATCCTAGCTACTCAGGAGGCAGAGACTAGGAGGATTGCAGTTTGAAGCCAGTCCAGGCAAATAGTTCATGTGAGACCTTACTGCAAAAAATCCATCACAAAAAAGGGCTGGTGGAGTGGCTCAAGGTATGGGCCCTGAGTTCAATCCCAGTACCACAAAAAACAAATAAACAAACAAACAAGCAAAATTAAGGAAAAACAGAAGGAACTATCATGAATAAACACAGAAATAAATGAAGTAGAAAGTGAAAAACAAACCTCAATTAATACAACCAAAAACTAGTTTTTGGTTCTCTTGTTTGAAAACCAAGAGAATGTACAAATCTTCTAAATCTGATGTAAGAAAAAAAACACTTTCAGTAATGGGGAAGTAGGTAAAGAGAACAACTCTATGTACAAATTTGAAAATATGAAAAAAACGATAAATTCCTTAAGAAACAGAGTTGTTAAAATTGACTTAAGAATAGCTTTGGAGCAGAGCACACAGCATGTATCTTTTACAGACAAGGAAGCTGGGCTCAGAGGCTAATCTGCCAGTGACTGGCAGAAGCACTGTGTGGTGGAAGCTCTTTCCTCTATGCCAGTGCTCAACTGGGAGAGAGATTTGTGGTCATCACACTGCAAAGATGAACAATTCACTCAAAATCTATGACTGCTACCTTCTCTCTCTTTCTCACTTTTTTTTTTTTTGATGCAACCTGGTCCGGCCTTGAACTTGTGATCCTCCTACCTCCATCTTCAGAGTGCTGGAATTACAGCAGTGTATCACAACAACTAGACTATTTTCTTTCTTTCTGTTTTTGTAGTACTGGGGTTTGAACTCAGGGACTACACCATGAACTACTTTGCCAGCCCTTCTCTTTTTTTTTTTTTGTGAAGGGTTTTTCGAGATAGGGTCTCATGAACTGTTTGCCCAAGCTGACTTTGAACCACAATCCTCCTGATCTCTGCCTCCTGAGTAACTAGGATTACAGGCGTGAGCCACCAGTGCTTGGCCACCCCATTTTTTTAATAGATCATAAGTGATTCTCCTGAAAACATTACATCATTTGGGTAAGAGAGGTAACTCCCATCTCTTTCTGTCAAAATGCCTGTTTTTAAATTTAGTACTCAGCAAGTTGACATTTAAGTTGTTCTTGGTAATAACTTGATGTATAAATTACAGGAGAGCTCAAAATACAAATATAAGTATTGTGAAAAAGAATTCAAATCTGTTTTCTGAGCCTGTTTGCCAATATCTTTAAGAGTATTAAATAAAGAACAAGAAACTGACAGAGCACTTTTCAGTTTCCTTATCAGTTCATTAAATCTTTCACATGTAACACACAAGACGAATATGACAGAACAATCTTCTGACCTTCAACTTTGAAACCAATTGTAGGCTGCCTGGGTTTAAATTATCACCAGCAGGATCTGCTATTTCAGTCTGCGGAAATAAAAGTCACACCGTCAATCTGCACTTTATGTGTGTGTCTGCATCACTCAGCAAAATGTCTACCTCAGATGTTACTTCCTCTGCTAACAGCAGCAAAGGTCTAAGTGCACCCATTCCACTGACGACAAGGAGAATAGGAACCTTATTTAAAAGTACATATTTTCACCAACCTTAACTTGCCCAGAATGAGCTTAATGCTTACAATGAAGTTGTTTCAAAGAACCATGGTAAAACATTCTTAAACACGGAGGGGCAGTGGTGAGAATGGCACACTGCCCATCCTCGCTAAGGCATTTTGTTCTTTCAGAGAAAATTTCACAAGGAAGCGATTGTACCTGTCCAATGGAATGTTCATGCAACTCCAGGCATGCATTTCCACAGAGCTGATTTTCTCTGAATGACTCAATGGATAGAGGTGTTGCTTGGGGGCCAGAGTCACGGTCACAGGCAGACTGTCCTAGCCTACCTGACATGTGCAGGCTGGTATCCAGTTTTGGTGGGCCGGTTGAACTGTCCAATTGTTCACTATCATTAATAAGACCAACTGTGTCTTCCAAATGAGACAGTTGGGGTGTAGAGCAGGTTCGTCCAACAACCTCAGCAGATACCTTTTCATAGGACACTTGAGAACCAAAAGCCGGAGTGGTGCCCAAGATGGGAAAAGCAGGTGAACACAGGTCTGCAGGAGGTCTGTTGCTTTCATCAGGGGCAGTGGTATTTAAAGGAGTGAAAAGTAGCATGGATGCAGAAAGACCCTTGCTTGAATCCTGACTCTTGAGGCTTGGTACGTAAGGATGTGCTTTTCCCGGTACAGCAGCAGGCTCCTCCTCTAAGTCCCCTGCTTCTGCAATCTGTCCCCTCAGAAGAGTACAATTCCCCTTGTGAAGATGACTTTCTCTAGATACTTTTGATTCAAGAGGCCTAATCAGTTTTTCTGAGGACTTCAGTTTTTCAAGCTTAAGAGCCCCAAAATCTTCATCAGGTAACTGAAAGTCTGGGATATTGAGAAAAGACAACAGGTGCTTTAAATTTAGCATTTTGTTCTTACGAAGTGGAGCACTGAAAGCACCAATATCCAAAGCTAAATAAGCATTATCACTAGGAGAAAGGGAAGTCTTTTTTTGAGAACCCTCTCTTCCCTACAATAGAAATGTAAGTGACAATAGTAAAAAAAGCCCAACACTAGCCATTAATGCATAACCCAGAGTGAGCTTCTATACTCAAGTACAGTAGAAATGTTCATTATTTCTCCCATCAGTGACTTTGAAACCTGTGAAGGGCTTAGAAAACCATCACAGGTTGGTGGTTAACTAGCAACCATTATTTTGCAGGGCCCAAAATAGTATGGTGCTGTCAGTACTCACTGGTAGAAGGATGACTAGGGTCAAGTCCACTTAATCACTGACTTGCTGTGCAACTGAGTCAAGTCATTTCATTTTCCCTCCTCTGTCATTGTCACAAAAGAATATTACTTCCCCCTTCAAACAAAAAGTAATTCGCTCTTCTTTCGATGGCTGAAATCCTATACCATGCAAAATGCAGCCGCATCCAACTGATGAATAGACAAACACGCATGCATGATGGAATGCCATTCAGCCATAAAAGGAATAAAGCACTGATATGTGCTGCTGCGTGGGTAGACCTCTAAAATACTATGTAAGTGAAAGCAGCCAGACACAAAGGGTCATGCATTATATTACATTTGTATGAAACATTCTGAATATTTCCTCTTCCATAGACACAGCAGGCAGATTGGCAATGCCTGGGGCTGGGGTTAAGAAAAGAGAAAATAAAAACCAGCTGCTTACCTAATGGCTGTGGGCTTTCCTCCTGGAGCGACAAAAATGTTCTGGATCTAGATACAGGTGGCTGCCTAACATCTTAAATACCACTGATTTGTTCACTTAATTTAAAACAGTGAATTATAGGTTGTGTGACTGCCAGAAAAAGTTTTTACATGTTGCTGCAGGTTACTAAAATCACAATAGACTATTTCAAAGCATAAAAAACAAAGTTTCTAGATTGTTACTGAATTTTACACTTTATTTCTTTGTAATCTTATCAACTTAATAAAAGATAAAGAAAAAAATCATGATTAATATCTTGTTTTTTTCTTTTTGTTTTTTAAGGCAGGGTCTGGCTGTGTAGCCCAGGCTGGTTTTCAACTGATAATCCTTATCTGCCTCTGCCTCCTGAGTGTTGGGATTATAGGCTACCATGCCCAATGACTGTTATCTTTAAATTAATTTAATGAATTAGAGCTCATCGCCAAAGTCTATGTTCAATGGTACAATCTTAGCCATTCTTGGGGATGGAGATCACAGGACCAACATGAGAGCCTGGCCAAGGCAAAAAGTTAGCAAGACCCCAACTCAACCAATAAAAAGCTGGGTGTGGTGGTATCTGCCTGTCATCTTAGTCCAGGCCGAAGCCTAAACGTAAGAACTTATTCAAAAAATAACTAAAGTGAAAAGGGCTGGAGGCATGATTCAAGCAGCAGAGCACCTGGCTAGAAGTTCAAGGCCCAGAGTTCAAAGCCCAATACTGCCGAAAAATAAAAAATTTTTTTAAAATTTAAAATGTTGCCCAGGCCTTTTATCTTATCACATCTAAGCAAGATTATCAGTATATTCTTATTTTAAACACATTTGATTTTACCTCAAAACACTGCCTATATTAAAGATTCTACCCACAGAAAAGGTTGCATTGTACCTGAATAGATACTAATTTTGATAGGCAACCAGTATCTTTTCCTTGGCAGTGCCGAATTTTCCAAGCACGTAAGTGAGCTCTGGTGCCATACTGACAGGTTTCAATCTTGGCTCTGTCATTATAATGCAGTAAAGTCATTTTAATCTCCCTGTACCTTACTTTCCTCACCTGAAAGTGAAGATTAAAAACAGATTCTACCTCATATAGCACTGCTGTGATCAAGCAGTGAGTTAGTATCTGTACAGCATGGAGAAGTGCCAGGCACATGGTAATTATTAGCTGTCATCATTACCATCATCAAACACAACCTGACTAGCTTGTTCTTCTTACCATGAATAATTGCTTTTCCACTCTGATGCTTGTGCCAGACGATCTCTTCCTTGAGCCAATTAACCCCCAGGGCTCTGGAAATTGGCAAAAGCAGTTCACAGTGATCCAGTGCCAAGGTGCAGGCTGATTTTCGTTTTCCTCTGTGTCTTTTAGCAGTTGGCTGTGTAACAGCCTTCCTACAAAAGTCACCTTCAGTGGGCACTGTAGAAGAGCCGACTTCAGCTACTGACAGAAGTTCCTGAGAAGGACTTCTTGAACTTGGTTGGCCTATGCACGTGTCCCGTGTGCTAAACTCACTTTGGTCATTTTCTTCAGTACAAAGGCTTAAATCTTTTGTTGTTTCCTTATCTTTATTTTTAAAGCCTTTCTTCCGGACACCTAAATGACTCTGAATTACAGCTTCCAGGGCTGCTTTCCTCTGGCAATCTGACATGCGACGTGTCGTTCTAACATAGTACTCTGCAGGAAACAGAAGGCCTTCAAGCATCGTGCAAGAATGCATTTGATTTTCTGTAGACATAGGAGAGTCTGCTTGTAGGCTAAGACTCTTAGACTGACTTAGATCTGCATTTTCCTGAAGACTTTCATTTCTAACAGGACATTTTAAAGATTTTCCTGTGTGATTTGGTTCTTTTAAGTTTTGGCTTATATTTGCTTGTAAGTTACTGTAAGTAACTTCATTTACAGAACATGAATTATTCGCCTCTAAGTTGGGGTATCTGGATACCTGGTCACTAACACTCATGGTGTTATTTACTACGGGGTTATCTGTACAGACAGCCATTTTTCTGTCTTGTGTCTCCAGGTTTATAGGTGAAGCAGGGCTGGTATTTCTAAACCCTGGAGTGGTAAGTTCCCAGTTACCTTTAGGAGGCATATATGTAAGCAGCTGACTGTTGCTGTTGTCTGAGGTAGTATGCAGAGGAACTGCAGTCTCCTTGGAGAAATGACTCTCTCCGAAGGCTGAATCAGCATCTCTTGCAGCAGTTGGTGGAATCAACACACTCTCTCCCTCAGTTTCTATAACTGGTGCTGGAGAATCTGGAATTTCAGGCTCAGGATATGCAAGGTAATTTATTTCAGTTGCTGGTGACCTAGGGTTTTTGTTACTGATTGCTTCTTGTTTCTTGAATCTTTTTCCAGAGAGCATGAGTGAATTGGTATCAAAGAAACATTCTCTTTCCTGTGAAGTAAACATTTTCTTTGGCTGCTTCTTTCTCTTCCCTTGTAGCTCACTCTGCCTTTTCTCACCATTAGGGCCACTGATCCTGTTGGGAAAATGTTCTTGGATGTCATCTGCTCTTTGTGTATGTAATTCTTCTGGGCCATCTTCAGGGTTAAAGGATTCAGGATGAACATCAAGTGTCACAGATGTTTTTTCTTCAGTCTCCTCAACAAGATGGGTGTTGATTTGGAACCTGTTGCAAGCAGATCCTTCATTTTCAGGCTCTGAGGAGAAAAAAAAATGCATGTAACTCTCGATCCCCAGTACCAAAAAAAAGAGAAGAAAAAAGTATTTTATGCAAAATACCTATGCATTTTACACAAAACTTATTTTTAAATTAGGATACATTAATATGAGGGGATTTTATTGTGATAATTCCATACGTTCGTACATTATACTCCCATCTCCCCCCACACACTATTTTTGGAGCTGCGGCAGGACAGAGGGAGAAGGATGCTGCATATTTACATAGGAAGACAGCATAACGAAACCCACCAAACACTGTTTCACAGTCCCACAGTAATATTCATGTCCTGTCATTATTATGACCATTATCATGCTAAGGCTAGGTCTCATAAATGAGTGAGAACATGCGATATATGGCGTTTTGAACTTGGCTTATATCACTCAGCATATTACAAAAATCTTTATACTCTTGTTTTTTGGTGGGGGGGTGGTACTGGGGTTTGAACTCAGGGCCTCACGCTTGCTAGGCAGGTTGTCTACCACTTGTGCTACCTCCACCAAATTCTTTAGACAAACAACACACTAGTAATATTTTCCTTTTTAAATGAAACAAAAAATCCTGTATTTATTTTAAAATATTACATAAGGCTAGGGGTGTAGATTATTGATAAACACTTACCTAGGATGCTTGAGGCCCTGGGTTCAATTTCCAGCACCACAAAAATACATAAAAACAAATATAAATACAACTGAATATTTAAGAAAGGATCAATGGCATTTCATTCAGGAAGAATAAGATTCAAGTTTTAAAAATTCTAATGAACCACAGAATTTTAAGTAAATATAAACAAATAGAATTGGGCTAATAAAGTGTTTTTTAAAACTGAAAGATTATTCTTTATCATGATCATCTTCTCTGTCTCTCTCATTTTTTTATTTTTTAAAGACAGGAACTCACTAGTACACCAGGCTGGCCTTAGACTCAACATCCTCCTGCCTTAGCACCACCATGCCTGGCTCCTTAATTTTTTAACTTTACCTGATTTCATCTGGTGTTGGAGAATGAACCCACGGCCATTCTCCACATGTGCTAATCATGTGCTTTACCACTGAGCTGCTAGGTATTGAGCTCAGGGCCTGGAGCATACTAGGCAAGTGCTCTAGCACAATGCTATACCCCAACCCTTTTTCTTTCACCTTCAAGTAAGTTTAAAACCACTTCCTCACTTCAACAGCCCAATTTTTTTTTTATTATAAAGCACTTGAATTTTAATGCCAAGTTAACAGAGCCAAGGCCTTGCACATGTGAGGTAAGTGCCTTACACTGAGCTACATCCCAGCTCTAGAATATTTTTCTATCTAGCCCTTTTTCTTCTCTGCACATATACATATCTTTTTAAAAATCATTTTTCCAATATTTAAACATTAAGTATAATTTCTAAACATTGAGAAAGAAAAAGAAAACTAAATAAACAACTCAACAGAAAGTTTAGTTTTTTGCTCATAGAATGTGAGAAAGTATTAACAAATCATGTATCTGATAAGGGTCTAGTATCTAGAACTTATAACAAATCCTTACAACTCAACAATAAAAACACAACTAATTAAAAAGGTCGGAGGACTCGAATATAGACATTTTCCCAAAGAAGGTATACATATGACATATGAAAAAATGTTTAACATCACTAGTAACTAAGAAATACAAATCAAAACCATAATTAGAAACCACTTCACATCCACTAGGATGGTTGTATCTTAAAAAAAAAAGGGGGGGGCACAGAGTGGCTCAAGTTGTAGAGCACCTGTGTAGCAAGTATGAGGCCCTGAGTTCAAACCTCAGTACCACAAAAAAAAAGAAAAGGGAAAAATACAAGTGTTGGTGAGGATATGGAGAAACTGGACACTTGTGTATTTCTGCTGGGAATGTAAAATGGTACCTCGCTATGTTTCAGTTTGACAGCTTCTCAAAAAGTTAAACAGGCTAGGCTGGTGGCACACCTACAATCTTAGTACTTGGTTAAAGCTAGAGGATCTCAAGTTTGAGGCCAGTCTGGGCTACACAGTAAAAAAATGTCTCCAAACAGAAATACCATATGACTCAGTTAAGTCCACTCCTAGATATAGTCCAAAAAGAATAAAAAACATATATCCCACAGAAACTTGTAAATGGATGTTCACACAATCACTATTCACAAGTCAAAAAATGGTGCTGGTTGTGGTGGTACATACCTGTAATCCCAGCACTGGAGGTGAGGCATGAAGATCACAAGTGAGGCCAATTCGGGCTATAGACAGAGACCATGTCTCAAAAAAAAAAAAAAAAAAAAGGCAATAACCTAATGATCACCAACTAATCTATGGATAAACAATGGAATATTATTCAGCTACTAAAAGAAATGAAGTACTGATACATACATGTAAGGATGGATGGATGGATGAACATTGAAAACACTGCTAAGTAAAAGAAGCCAGGCACATATTGCACTATTCCATTTACATGAGATGAGGACAACAGGCAAATCCATAGAGACAGAAGTAGATTAGTGGTTGGGGGTGGGCAGGGGTAGGGAAGATGGCTAATGGGGTGGTGCAAATGTTCTTTAATTAGTGATGATAGTTGTACCATCTTGTGAATATACAAAGAACCACTGATTTATACACTTATAAAGATACTTAAATTTGGGCTGGGTGGTTTTAGGTTTGCCTAGTATGCACAAGGCCCTGAGCTCATCCCTAGCACAGCAAACTAACAAAAACCTAATTAAAAAAGAAAGAATTTAATATTTAAACATTAAATATAATTCCTAAAGGTAAGAAAAAGAGCAACTAAATAAACAAGTCAACCAAAAGCATAGTTTTTACATTAATTTAAAAGTCCATTGCTTTTTATTCACTGTGGAAAAAAAGCATCAGCCACAAGTACCTGGGAAGTGCAAAATAAACAAGCACAAGTGAATGAGCTAGTCTTACCTGGGTGGGTTGGTAGTGGTGAGAGTTCTTGCTGCAGCAAGTCATCTTGTTCTACTGTTTTCTTAATAGAATTTTTAACCTTCTCAGCTCTTTGGGCACGCTAGAGAAAACAAAAGTAGCTCAAGAAATAAATTTTCTTGCAGGGTGCCAGTGGCTCACGCCTGTAATCCCAGCTATTCAGGAGACACATATCAGGAGGACTGAAATCCAAAGCCAGCCCAGACAAATAGTTCCAGGAGACCCTATCTCGAAAAAACCATAGGGCTGGCAGAGTGGCTCGAGTGGTTTATTTATTTTCTTTTTTATTTTTTGCCGTGCTTGTGCATGCTAGGCAAACACTCTACCATTTAGCTACACCCCCACTCTATGAATTTTCTTTACAGCTTTATTATTGTCAGGAATTTTTAAAATATATTTGTCAAACACTTCATTTGAGAGTATGATTCACTTACCTGAAGGCGGGCCAATGTCTTGCTGTATTCCCTTTTCAAGAATGCTAGTTTTTCCTTCAGCTGGAAGAAGAAAAACACCAACAATGAGTGGAGAGCTGGAATTGGAGGGGATACAGACCTGAGGGTCAGCAGTACTTGGTGGAGGGAGAGGCACTGACAAAGAGACCTACATTCCGTCCTCACAAAGCACTAGCTTTCATCTCAGGACTGTTACATCAACTGTTCCTGTCACCTAGAGCATTTCCTTCCTTTGTCAATTCCTATTGATCCTTAAGCCTCAGCTTAGAGTTTTACTTTATTTAGATTTACTTCCCTGGGATAGAGTCTTCTCCAAATCCAGGTTAGACATTCCCTCCCTCCTCTGTCATCTTTGGTTTTTCAACCAATAAATCTCTTCATTGTCTGTTAATGTGCAGATACCACTAGCACCTGGAATAATAACTGATACCCAGGTGTGTCTGTTATTGTTCAAGGAATTAGAGATAACCATAGTTAAGGCAATTTACATTTACATATACCGGAAAAAGACACACACATACACACATAACAGGTTAAGATTTCACATGATAATAAATACCTAGATCACCAAGGTGATATGAGTGACTGGCCTACTGAAGGTAGAATAGTCAGGGAGGTCTTTCTAGACCTGAAGGAAGAAGGTAGCTTTGGGACAATCAGGATAGGTATTTCATCCAGCCAGAAGGAAACACACATGTGAAAGATGGTGAAATGGGCTAAGCGTATTTGAGGGATACATGGAAGGCCAGTTAAATAGGAACTTTTGCTGCTGAATTCCCAGCCAAGCACATAGTAAGCATTAAGTACATTTATTAAATACGTAAACTGAGCTGAGTCAAAGCACTGGGGTTTAGAGCTGGAGATGTAGGCTAGTGGTAAGAGTGCTTGCTAAGCACTGGATTTAATTCCCAGTACTGCAAAATAAAAAATAGTAAAAATTACTATTTTCTGAAAGTTTGGATTGTATTTCTCTCTGGTTCCTGTGGTTCAAATGAATCTCTCAACTGCAAGCCACCCTAGATTTGTGTGCATTCTATGAACCATTTAGAAGCACTCATCCTTCCAAAATCACCCAGTTTATACATGGTGCAATTCAAAGCCAAGTAGTAGAGCTCTGTTCTGTGCTTTTAATCTCTATGCTGGCCTTCCCCCCACCAACCTTATCAAAATCTGGGAGTTTTTTTGTTTACTGGTAGGTCATCTTTTCAACTCACCTAGGTGAGCTACGTTAGGAAGGCTGAGAAGGGAACGTTAGTGAGATTTAGCATAGCAAACACGAGACACTTTCAAGTCAAGTCAGCACAAGCACCTGGAAACCTAAAAGTCTATTAGTAGAATATCTAGAGCCCTAAAGAAGTCAGGGCACTTCAAAACTGTAGAACACAATGATCTTTATGTATATATAAAACACAGCCAGGCGGTGGCCCAGGCCAGTATGGCCAGCCCTTGGGAGGTAGTGGCAGGATTCCCGGTAGGAGGCCAGCTTGGTCTACATACAGACGTCCTGTCTCAAAAACACAAAATAAGGGTGGATGCGTAGCTCAAGTGGTAAAGAGCTTTTGCATAGCAACCGCGAGGACGGGGGTTCAAACCCCAGCACCACAAAAGTAAACAAGTAAACAGACGTATATCTTAACATAGACGTTAAACACGAAGAAAACGGAAGTTGCAGAATCATTTACGAACGTTCTTCTCTCCGATAAACACATATTAGTTTCTGGAAGTCATGGGTCCCCCGCTCCAACAGGGAAAGATCTGGAAGAGCCAGGCTGTTAAAAGGGTGAGATGGAGAAACAGGGTGAGAGGTGGGGATGGCGGAAGGGTGTCGGGGCACTTTTTCTGCAAAGTTTTTACATTGTGCACTTCTGTATTGCTACTGTAGACTATGTACTGCTAATTTGTTTCTAAACGCCACCACGTGAGCAGCGCGCTAATCCTGTGCTTTCTCTTCCGTGCCCGGCCCTAAGCCGTCAAGGGAAAAGCCAGGCCTCACGTCTGCCGCGCGCGGTCAGAGTCCGGCTCAGCCCTTCCCGCACCAGGGCCCTGGCACCTTTTCCTTCTCCGCACAGCTCAGGGGCTTCCCGGGAGCCTCTTCCATCGGACTGGAGGCCGAACGAGAAAAGCAGCGGTCGTCAGCCCCGGGCCCGTGGAGTCGGAGACCGAGGTGCACACGGGAAGAAATGGATGATCCGGGATTGCCCTGAGCGCGCGACCAGCCGGCCCACGCGGGCCCCGCGCGCAGTCAACCCTGGCCAATTAAAGCCAGCCCTCGGCATGCGCATGCGCAGCCTGGGATCGCCGAGCTATGGGGCAGGGCCGCTTAGAGGAGAGTCAAGCTGTCGATGAGACCCACGCCAGGAAGCGGAAATGAAGCAGCAACCGGAAGTAGCCGGAATTTTGGCCCAGCCGGACGCGCTTTGACAGGATTCCGAGGAACGCAGAGGCGGCGGCGGCGGCCATGGAGCTAAGCGAGCTGCTGTACAACAAGTCGGAGTACATCGAGACGGTACGCGCGTTCAGACTTCTTCCCTGCGCTTTCCAAGCCTACTCCCTGCGCGGCCCCACCCTGTCCTGCCCCACCCACCCCGTCCCCGCCGCGGTTGCTCAGGGTAACCTAGGGATGCTTCGTGCATCGTCTTGATTTTGTCATTTAGTCCGTGCGCGGCTAGTTTAGGCTTTTTGTTTATATTCCTGATTTTTCCGTAGGGATGAAGTGCTTTGCGGAGGACAGGACAAATCCCATTCTTCAAGCTTCCGGCCCTTTTAAACGATTTTTTTAAACTGCTAAACTTAAAAATTATTAGCATAAGTTAATTGTACGAGGTGGTTTCATTGGGATGTTTACAACTTGCATATAATGTACTTTGATCAAATTCATCCCATCAGTATTTCTTTTTTTTAACCACCCTTCCTCCTCCATGCTTTTTAACAGTTTTTGGTGGGTTTCATTGTGCTATTTTTATATGCATGTATGATGTGTTTCTATAGTACTCACATTTTTTAACGTTTTGTAATATGTTAACAGGTAGTGAAAAATACTATTTTTTAAATAGTCAACATATATTATGTGTGTAAAATGGTGAAAACAGGCCAAGTGCCCAGTAAAGGTTTTTCTTTGCATTCTTATAGCTTTCACAGTAGTAAAGATACCATCCTCATCTTAGGGCTTTATAACTGAAGTATGGAATGGTTTTGAACCATGTCTCTGCCCGAGGCTCTAAGCTATAGTCAGGATCTGGTCCCTGAATCTTTAGTTTCCTCATCCATCCTTGCTTTTTTTGAGATTTGGGGTTCATTCCGTGTGTGTGGGGGTGCTGGGGATCAAACCCAGGGCCTTGTGCATGCTAGGCAAGTGCTCTACCACTGAGCTGTTCCCCAAGCCCTTACTCCATTTTAGACTGCACTCCATTTCATATTATTTTATGTCCAATATGAGCAAAAGCAAAGAAGGGAGGGGGAACTGATGTTTGAAATTTAGGGCCTTGTGCTTCCCAGACAGGTGCTCTACCTCTTGAGCCACACCCCCCGCCCCTTTTACTCATTATTTTTGAGGTAGATTCTCCTTTATGCCCAAATAGGCCTGGATCACCATCTCTGATTTATGCTTTCCACAGCTGGCATGACAGGTGTGTTACACTTCCCCCAGCTTTTATTGGTTAAGAAGAGGTCTCAAGAATTGTTTGTCCAGGCTGGCCTCCAACCTCGATCCTCCCTATCTTTGTCTCCCGACTAGCTAGGATTACAGGTAGAAGCCACTATGCCCAGCTTACAATATGAACTTTCTTGATGGAAACTTGTAGCTCAGTTGCTGACTCAGCTTCCTCACCCCAGTTCTCTGTTTTTTTTTAGGCATCTGGTAACAAAGTTAGTCGCCAGTCAGTGTTGTGCGGGAGCCAGAACATTGTTCTCAATGGCAAGGTAAGGGACAGAGTAGCTCCAGAATGCTCACCTTTGCTTGTTTTTCACTAGTCATCACATTAGTAGGGTGGATGGAATGTAACTATGTCTATTTATCATTGTATGTTTCTAATTCTCTTTCTTTTTTCCTCCAAATTGGATTTATTTATTTAGTAATACTTGGGTTTGAACTCAGGGCCTCATGCTGGCTAGGCAGGCACTTCAGCTCTCTTGCCAGCCCTTTTTTTGTGTGTTGGATATTTTTGAGATAAGGTCGCTCAAATTATTTGTCCTGGGTAGCTTCGAACTTCAATCCTCCTTTTCTCTACCTCCAAATAGCTAGGATTACAGGCATGAGCCCCTGGTGTCGGCTCTGAATTTTTTTTTTGATCTTACAAAATAATGGGGGTTGGAGAGTGGCTCAAATGGTAGTATGCCTGCCTACCAAGTATGAGGTCTTGAGTTCAAACCTCAGTACTGCAAAAAAAGAAAGAAAAATGTTTCATTATGACATTTCCACACATGTATAGAATGTGCTTCAATTCTGCTTACCCCCATCACCTTTCTTGGTCCCTTTCCCTCCCCCTGTTGTGTTCCTCTCCCAAATAGCAAATAAGCCCTTTGTATATTCACGTCTTTTGTTTCTTTATTTTTAGGTCTAGATTCTGCATAGGAGAGAAAACATGGTATTTGTCTTTCTGAGTCTGGCTTATGTCACTTAACATGATTTCCATTTACATCTATTTTCCTTCATCTCCTTCCTTTCTTCCTTCCTTCCTCCCTCCCTCCTTCCCTCCCTTCTTTTTGTTTTCTTTCCTTTCTTCCCTCCCTCCCTTCCCTCCTTTCTCCCTCTCACCCTTCTTACCTCCCTCCCTTCCTTCCTCTCTTTTTCTCTTTCTTTCTTTCTGGCGGTACTGGTGTTTGAACTCAGGGCTTTACACTTGCTAGGTAGGCACTCTATTGCTTGAGCCATTCCCCCAGTCCTTTTTTGCTTTTACTTATTCCACCCACCCCTACCCTCCATAGGGTCTCACATTTTTGGCTGGGGCTGGCCTCAGACCATGATCCTGCTACTTATACCTCTTGCATAGCTGGAATTACAGATACAACCACCACATCCAGCTTGTTGGTTGAGATTAGTTTAGTCTTGCTAACTTTTTTCTGCACAGCTGGCCTCAAACTATGATCCTCATGATGGCTACCTCCTGAGTATCTGGGATTACAGGAGTGAACCGTAGGCTCACGACTACACCTGGCCTCATTCTTCTTTATGGCTGAATAATACTCCATTGTCTATATATACCACATTACCTTTATTCATTCATCTGTTGCTGAGCACCTAGGCTGATTCTGTAACTTGGCTACTGTGAATTGTGCTGCAATAAACATGGTATGTCAGTGTCTACTATATACTGACTTTGATTCCTTTGGGCCTATGCCTGTAGTGGTTTAGCAGAATCATAGTTCTGTTTTGTTTTTGTTTTTTGAGGAACCTCTATACTGATTTCCATAGTGGCTGAACTAAGCATTCCTTTTTTCCCATATCCTTGCCAGCATTTGTTGTAGTTTGTTTCCTTGATGAGAACCATTCTTACTGGGCAAGATTAGAATCCTAATGTAGTTTTGATTTGCATTTCCTTGATTGCCAAAGATGGTCAACACTTTTTCATTTATTTGACATTTGTACTTCTTTAGAGAACTATCTGTTCAAAAAGAAAAAAAAAAGAACTCTGTGTTCATTTTCCTGTTTATTGACAGAACTATTCATTCTTTTGTTATTTAATTTTTGGAGCTCTTTATATGTTCTAGATAGTAACCCCTTGTCTGATGAAAGCCTGGCAAAGATTTTTCTTCCATTCTGTAGGCTGTTATCTTCACTCTGGTGTTTACTTTAATGTACAGAAGCTTTTTAATTTAATGCAATTCTGTTTATCCATTTTTTGCTCTTATTTCCTGAGCTATTAGAGTCCCACTTAGAAAGTCTGTCTATGTCTGTGTCTTGAAATATTTTCCCCTAGTAGTTCTAACATTTTGGATCTTATATTAAGGTCTTGGATCCATTCCAAATTAATTTTTGTACAAGGGGAGAAGTAGGGGTCTAGTTTTTTGTTTTTTTTTTTTTTCATTACTGGGGTTTGAACTCAGGGCTTCATGCTTGCAAAACAGGTGCTTTATCACTTGAGACACACATTTTGCTCTGGTTATTTTGGAGAAGAGGTCTCTCAAAGTATTTACCCAGGCTGGCCTCAAACCTTGGTCATCCCAATCTCAGCCTCTCCCATAGCTAGGATTACAGGGGTAAGCCACAGGCATCTGGCAGGGTCTAGTTTCAGTTTTTTGTGGGTGATATCCAGTTTTTCCTTGGCACTTTGTTGTGAATCAAATGGCTGTAGCTACGTGAGTTTATTTCTGGCCCTCTATTCTGTTCTGTTCCATTGGTCTATGTGTCTCTTTTTGGGCAAGTATCATGCTGTTTTTTTGTTACTATGGGTGTGTAGTATAGTTTGAAATCAGGTACTCTGATACCTCCAGTGTTGCTCTTTTTGCTCAGGATTGCTTAAGCTATTCAGGGTCTTTTGTGCTTCCAAATGGATTATGAACTATGACTATGCATAGAATTAAATGCCATCAATTACATTCACAATGTTGTGCAACAATCACAATTTATTCTCAAAACTTTATCACCCATGATAATAACCGATAATTCCCCATTCTTCCTTCCCCCCAGTGCTCGATAGCCACAATCTCCCTAACTCTACTTTCTTCTTCCTGTTGTTTTTTTGGTTCTGGGAACTGAATTTAGGGCCTCATACATGCTAAGCATGTGTGCTACCACTGAGCTACACTCTCAGCCTCTAATCTACTTTCTGTCTCTATGAATTTACTTATTCTAGATATTTCATGTAAGTGGAATCATAAATATTTGTCCTTTTTGTCTGGCTTATTGCACCTAGCATGTTTTCCAAAATTCACCCAGGTAGTATCACGTTCCTTTTCATAGCTGAATAATATTCCACTATGTGTGTACCACATTTTGCTCATCCATTCATTTGTTGATGGACACATGGGTTATTTCTGTCTTTTGGTAGTTGTGAATTATACTGTGATGAACACTGGTGTACAAATGTCTGTTGGACCCTGTGGCTTCAGTTGTTTGGAGTATAAACCTAGGAGTGGAATGGCTGGGTCTCAAGTGGTGATTTTGTTTTTAACCTTTTGAGGAACTGCCAGACTACATTCCACAATGGCCACACCATTTCACACTTCCACCAGTGATGTATGGTGTTCCAATTTCTGCACATTTCATAGTACTGCAAATCCCAGATCTAATAAGGATTTAGTATCTAGAATACGTTGAGAATTCTCGCAACTGAACAAAAAGATAACACAATTTTAAAAATGGGCAAAGAGCTGGAAAGACATTCCTCTAAAGGAGATATGCAAATGGCTAATAAGCCCATAAGAACATACTCAACTCATTAGCCATAGCATAACACAAGTCAAAAGACAATTCTGGAATTGTCTTTTTTTCCTCTTTTACAATGTCCTTTGGTGCATAAGTTTTAACTTTGATGATGCCCAGTCTGTCTTTTCCCATTGCTCATGTGTTTGGCATCATGTCTGAGAACCCATGGGCAATGTAAAGTCACTAGACTTACTACTGTTTTCTTCCTGGAGCTATGTTCCAGCACTCACACTAGCTACTTATTCTGTTTTGAATTAGTTTTTTGTATAGTATGAGACGGATCTAGCTTAATTCTTTCTGATGTGGAGGTAAAGCTGTCTCAGAGCCCTTTGATGAAGACACTGTTCTTTCATTACTGAATGGTCTTGCATTCTTGTAGAAAATCATTTGGTCATAGGTTTATGAGTTTGTTTCTAAACTCTTGATTCTGTTTGGTTAGTCTGTATGTTATCCTTAGTACTACATGGTTTTGATTACTGTAGCCTTATAATAATTTTTTTTGTAGTAAGTTTAAATGAGAAAATATGAGCAGTCTAACCTTGGTCTTTTAAATGATTGTTTTGGCTATTTAAGGCCCTTTCTGTCTTTTTTAAAAGATACTTTGTTTGGTAACACTTACTGTCCAAAAAGAGTACAGTAAGCCTTTGGTATCCACAGGTGTAGGATTCCAAGGATACTGCTGTTGAGAAAAAACTGCAAATACTCAAGACACACAGAATTCAGTGCCGTATTGCAGATGCTTCATTGATTTTCCTCCACAACACCACACAACTTCTGGTAGACATGCCGCCTTTCAACAAATCTCTGATTTTCACTTTATCATTTCAGTTAAGCACATTCAGTTTTTCTTTGCATCTTGGGCACCATTTGCTTTTTCTTCTTCTTTTTTTTTTTTTTTTTTTATTGCTGTACTGGGGTTTGAACTCAGGGCCTTGCACTTGATAAGCTGGTATTCTACCACTTGCACCACACCACCAGATCAACCTTCTACTTTTTGAGAGGCAAATTTTCACAAAATTAAGTACACTCAGCAGATCATATAATTAAGTACACTCATCAGTTTCAACACAACTGATGATAACTCGAGGCTGACTGAGAGCTTCTCCACATCCACTGAGCTGCATGATGTAACTGGGAATTAATAATTTTTGTTTTTGAAATTTCTTATTCTAAAAAATTATTATTATTATTATTATTTGTGATACTGGGGTTTGAACTCTTGCTAGCCAGGTGCTCTACCATGTGAGCCATACCTACAGCACAAATCATCATCATCATCCTCGTTTGTGGTACTGGGGTTTGAACTCAGAGCCTTAGGCTTGCTAGGCAGGCACTCTACCACTTGATCCAGTCTACCAGCCCTTTTTGGTTTTGTGTTGGATATTTTTGAGATAGGGTCTTATGAACTGTTTGCCCGGGTTGGCTTTGAACCACGATCTTCCTTCTGTGTCTCCTGTGTAGCTGGATTACAGGTGTTATCCCAGTGCCTGGCCTTTATTATTACCTTTTGACTCAAAACCAGGTGTAATAAATCCGTGAATAAGGTGGCTTACTG